ATGCCAACCAAACATAATATTCATCTAACTTTTTAGTTATGTTTACACAAATCTTGACTTATCCACAGATTCAGTTGGTTTACAAATGCAAAAATAGCAGAAATGTCAGAGGATCTACAAATTTGTATAAAAGACCACAGCAAAAATGTTTTGCGAGGCGTATGAGGGATGGGTGAGGTGCGTGAGGGATGGGTGAGGTGCGTGAGGGACGGGTGAGGGGCGAGAGGGACGGGTGAGGGGCGAGAGGGATGGGTGAGGGGCGAGAGGGACGGGTGAGGGGCGAGAGGGACGGGTGAGGGGCGAGAGGGACGGGTGAGGGGCGAGAGGGACGGGTGAGGGGCGAGAGGGACGGGTGAGGTGTGAGAGGGACGGGTGAGGGGTGAGAGGGACGGGTGAGAGGGACGGGTGAGGCGAGAGGGGGACGGGTGAGGGTTGAGAGGGACGGGCGAGAGGGACGGGAGAGGCGTGAGAGGGACGGGCGAGGCGTGAGAGGGACGGGCGAGGCGTGAGAGGGACGGGCGAGGCGTGAGTGGGACGGGCGAGGCGTGAGAGGGACGGGCGAGGCGTGAGAGGGACGGGCGAGGCGTGAGAGGGACGGGCGAGGCATGAGAGGGACGGGCGAGGCGTGAGAGGGACGGGCGAGGCGTGAGAGGGACGGGCGAGGCGTGAGAGGGACGGGCGAGGCGTGAGAGGGACGGGCGAGGCGTGAGAGGGACGGGCGAGGAGTGAGAGGGACGGGCGAGGCGTGAGAGGGACGGGCGAGGCGTGAGAGGGACGGGCGAGGCGTGAGAGGGACGGGCGAGGCGTGAGAGGGACGGGCGAGGCGTGAGAGGGACGGGCGAGGCGTGAGAGGGACGGGCGAGGCGTGAGAGGGACGGGCGAGGCGTGAGAGGGACGGGTGAGGTGTGAGAGGGACGGGTGAGGTGTGAGAGGGACGGGTGAGGTGTGAGAGGGACGGGTGAGCAATACCACAAAATTACTGATTGCCGTATTTCTTCTGGGCACATCCAGATTGTCACCTAATATTGGAAAACTTTTGAGCATTAAACAGCATCAAATGTCACACTAACTGCTGTCTGTTAAGGAATATAAATGTTATCTAAATAATACTTAAATAAAAATATACTTAATTCACAGTTCTAAGTTTCATTATTATTTACCTTCATATTAGTTATAAAAACAGTTCAACAGATGAATATGGCACGCTCTCGGTTCACAGACATTACTGCAGGCTCGTGAGAGGAAAAAGGTTGCTAACCCCTGCATATTGTGCACATAAACACCAAGATGATAGAAACTACTAATTATTTGATGAGACTTCGTTCAGCCACTGTTTAGAGAGGTGGAAGATTAGGGAGGTGGAAGTAGCAGTTAGCAAATACCGTATGGCAGGAAAAAGATGCAATAAGCAGAGTAAGACAAAACAGAAATAGGCAAGATGACTTTTTAATGAATGGAAGTATGAAAAAGTGTGTTCAAATAGATAGTGATCCTTAACGTCAGATATGCATGTGAACCTAATCTCCTGAATTACGACACCTTAACCTCAAAGGCAGGCAAGAAAAACTGTGTGTGTGTAATTATCTAATGAGGTGTGTGTGTGTATGTGTAAACACAAATGTATGTGGAATGATGGACTTTATGGAGAGAGATGAGCGAGAGAAAGCAAAAAGAGACGATTACCAAAGAAGAGACTGATGATAATAATAATGCTGTAATGGCAAAAGCAAACCTACACGGAGAAGAAATAGAAAGGAAAGGACTTGAGTATATTTCAGTCGGTACTAAGTCACTCTTCAGCAGTATCTGCTAAAGATCTTGGTGCACGGACCAAATGCGTGCTTCCATTGTTCTCTCTCAACTTGGGTTTACTTTTGCCATTGGCTAGTGCTCTTTATGATATAACACAGTTATATTTTAAATGTTAAAAGAACAAGATGGAGAGCCAAGCCATGGGAATGGTGGTCATATGTGGAAATGATCTGCTAAAAGAAAGGAGAATATGGAAGATATTGCTCAGAAATTGACAGCAGATTGTGGCCTGTGGAAGCACTCTGTGGAAGAGGATAAGAGAGAATGGAGGTGTAGACCTCACTTGAGAGGCAAACTTAGTGATCGCAGTGATTAATGACGAAACGCTCTAGTTGTGTGGAAGCTGTTCACTCCAACTCACTGAATGCAAGTTGAGGACACGAGCGAGTAGGACGAGGAGCAGCTCTGCGCCTGAACCACCCTATTTCTATGGGAAAGTAGAGATAATAGACAGGACAAATGATAATATCTGGCAACAATACAGATGGTTCGTTAGAGGTCAATGATTGGCATAAAAGAATGTTAACGAAAATTTTCACATTTACATATTGTTACATTTGCATAGTCTAAAAACAAAAAAACAAAGAGGCAGGCATAGTGTTTAATAATATTATGGACTGTATTCACTAAAGTCTTGAGTAACGGTAAAAGCTTGTACAGTATTACCAACATCAGACCCATAATACCATCACAAACAAAACATTAAAATGAACATGTTTTGGAGAAGTTCAGCTGATTTATAATCATTGCAGTTCATGGCTCGGTAGTACAGTAGTTACAGTGGACTCCCACTTACATGGCTAAATTTGCTCCATCCTTACAGCTGCAACTGAAATTCTGTTGCACTCAAGGTATGATATTTTTTGCTATTTTATAGTTACCATTATTATGTTTTTCATAAATGCAAATTATAAAACATTCTTTTATGCATATACTGACCTTGTAGTGAACTAACCTGGTGTCAGTCAGATGCTGACCAGTTTGCTTGATAAATTGTTGTGTTATTTGACTATCCTTGTGCTGACAATTATAACCTGGAGAAAGATTTTCGATTTCTTCTTTGCTATCACAGCAAACAACATTGCTTGATGATGTGATAGAGCCCTGCATGCAATTCTTTTCAAGTCCCTGGACTATGTTGCAGGGTCATTTAAAAAGTAACTTGTTGCAGTAGGGTTTACATTCATTAAGGGCTTGGCAGGTGACCAGTGTCCTAATTGGACCCTGGCCCTCACTTGCTCAGCAACCGAGGAGCTGCTCAAATTTGGCATTATAATAGTCTACCCTCAATGCTTTCAATTTTTGGCACTAAATTTTCATCCAGTGAATACACAAATCTACTCTATAGGAAGACTTGCGTTATTTTCCACTGAAACCAAGCATAAAAATAAAACAACCAGAACAAACTCCTTACGTTACAACTGCCTTCACTGTACACACAGTTCCGGTTCAGTGTGAATTCAGCATAAGCAATTACTCATGATATTGTGTACTGTTTAACACTTAAAACAATTTGGACTTGGTAGAACTGCAGTTATAAACAAAATTAAACACATGAATAGAGTACAGTATATGTATTTATCAACTGGAAAATGTCAATCCCCTAATAAACTGAATTATCCATTGGCTGCTTCAGCTACTCTCTCTAAATTCCTGTTGAGGAAGCAAACACTAGTGCAAAATACACCACATGAATATACAAGGGATAACTTAGTGCAAAATATACCACATGAATATACAAGGGATCATTTGGTGCAAAATACACCACATAAATAATATACTAGGGATCATTTGGTGCAAAATACACCACATGAGTATGCAAGGGATTGCTAGTCGGAGTCTAGATAAAAAAAACATGGCATTGGAGAATGCATCTACAAATGTGCTCTGGACAAAGAACACCTAGTCTCTAAAAAAAAAAGTAACATCTCAACTGCATGACAGGGGTCCATGCTGACAGTACTGATATCTATGGTTGAGTGAGAGAACTTGGCTTACAGTGACGAGCAATGGGGGCACCGCAGGTGTTAAGTGTTGACGGGGAGGGGCAGCAGCGTTCAACCCGGGTGGAAACAAACCACACAAGGTTGGAGGAAGGGGAAGTGAGTTACAGTAACACATTCGTGTATGATGTGCAAACATTATCTAACGATGTTTTCCGTAATCCTCTATTACCTACATAAACTATAAAGGATATTATTGCTAATAATATAGCCGAGAGAAGAGGGTAGCTCTAGGGATAAAGTGAGGGGTGGCCACCTCCCTCGACCTAGTTGTACCACTGAGTCCACTTTTCCACTTTGCTTCTCTCTCTTGGGCTATATGACAAGACCACTGGAAAAGTTATTTATCTTGACAGTGCTTAATGTCACTCAGGGTTGATGGCACTGGCCCAGGAATGCAATCGATCAAGCCATTCTTAGGACAATACAATGAAGATTTCTAGTTACTATGGAGCTACATTGCTAAATTTCAATAGCAATTATACTTTATTTTTGCAGAAAATTAAAATATTTAAAGTCAATCATATGAGATATTCTTGAGATACTGAACGAAAATGAAACACAAAAATAAGGCAACAATAGGGAACTCCCACCGAGGATATCAAATAAACATTTGAGACCTTGTGTCAGGTCCACTACAGTACAGTAGATGAGAAGCAGATGCCTCCCCACCTAATGAAATAGGATCTGGGGGAATGATGGTAATCAATAGTGTTCCTTTTGTAATACTGTCATATTCTAAGAAGAATCTGCTATTGCAAAGATTTACCACAGAGAAAATAAATGGATTACCACATTGTACGAAACTAAACTGGCCTTGAGGGAAGCTTGAAAGCTCTTTAACAAGACATACTGGCAAATATTTATATAAAATTCTATTATAATTCCCATTTTCCTATCAGGAGGGAAGAATTAAGTCTCCTCTAGATATTCTCATTATGACAAACACACATTTCTTCCTACTGATGTTCAATACACACACACACACATATTCAGACCTGGCAAAACACAATTATCTGTACTCACTCCAACACCCATATTCAAGATAGTAACACAGTTCTCAATACTAATATCCAACATCTACATATTCAGACAAGGAAACACACACAACTCCCCATACTCATGTTAATACATCTAAATTATACTAGGTTTTCTACAGTAAAGTGTAAGAATAACAACTGTTTAGGGAAATGGTTCACTTACCGGGGGCATTAAATGGGGCAGCGCCAAATGGATCGTCTTCAGTTGACATCACTAAACTCTCTCGACTTTTCACATTTGATATGCCTAAAGGCGAGAAAATACCATGTAAATCACAGTCTCTTCTGGAAGACCTGTATTTAAAACAACATAATACACACAGAGATCACACTAATGTGATGCACCAAATGAACAAATTCAATCCAAAATTCAATCAGGTGGTTGTAAGCAGTCACTATAATTCCTTCATCTAAACACCATTACAGAATCATGAAGCGTGCTCACTACTCTGAGATCCTCTTCGAATTTTGTCGAACTCTGCCCCGAAGATGTGATCCTCGGACATTTGACTGAAGGGAGTTGTGTCATTGAAAGGATTCCATGTACGAACTTCAGCAGCAGCCAAGCTCACTTCTGAGGTGACTAGGCCCTCCTGAAAGACAAAAACCAACAATGAATGTAATAAAATGACTTTTTGGTAGTGCCTCAATGGCTCCCTGAAGCCGAGATGGACTCTCACTACTGAACTGGGTCATACAAGTGAACAAATCCACAAGGGCCGTGACGAGGATTCTGACTTTTGGCCAAGAGCATCCCAGACGCTGCCTTAATCGACAGAGCTACGACATGGTAAAAGAATTGAATCCTCTTCACGGCCCTTGTGGATTTGTTCACTTGATGCATCATGCTATTGTGATTTGTGTGTGTAATGGGTCATACAAGACATAGGATTCCTGTACGGTCCCCTTCATGTACTAGTATTAGATAGTTGTAGATGTATTAGATAGTATTAGATAGTTGCTACAGGCTGCTTCCTTGGGGTGTGTAGCAAAAAGGAGGCCTGGTTGAGGACCGGGCCGCGGGGACGCTAAACCCCGAAATCATTTCAAGATAACCTCATAGAGCTACAGTGAGCGAGGGTTTATTATGATCACCTTTACCAGCAGAACACCAAGAAAGTGAGTGAAGCAATAGAAACAACTGCAAGGTTCACAGAAAACAGAGCATGAAACAGTTAATGAGACCACAAATGATTCACACAAACCCAAATGAGTCATCCAAAACTAGCTTGAATCCTCAAGCTGTGAAAGACTGCCAACAGGTGGCAGCCCTGGGAACTCAGCAATGAGTTTCCACAGGGCTGCCACCCACCGGGCAATTACCAGGGGCTGAAGGAGTGTAACCAAGCAGGTTACTTTTAAAGAAAGGCTAAACAAAAATTTGAAGCAATGATTGAAACATAATGAAGACTATACTAAAAATTTTAAAATTAAACATCATAATTATATGGTGCCTGCAGTAAGAGCTTATCACCAGAAGCATAAACAAGATAATTTCCAACATGTTGCTTGTAAGTCTGACCAACAATATGGTTTGTAACCAGTACCTGTGATCCATCCTCGGACTGCAGGATGCTCGTTGGTCCACTTTCTCTTTCTGTAGTCCTGACTGAAGCCTCGAAGGGGGCAAGGAACTGTGTTGTCTCATTAGCAAATGTCCTGGAAAAATGGTATGCTCTATGAAAGCAAGAATAATGTTTTATTATTTAAGAACTTAGAACCACATGGCACTTATCAATCTACCTAGAGGCAGGAGGCCAGGAGAGGGAGCCAAGGGAGAGGGGAGGGAGCCAAGGGGGAGGGGAGGGAGCCAAGGGGGAGGGGAGGGAGCCAAGGGGGAGGGGAGGGAGCCAAGGGGGAGGGGAGGGAGCCAAGGGAGAGGAAGGTGGGCAATAGGGGGACAAATCTGTTTAGTGTTTCACAGAGGTTGCCAAAGCATTTGTGTATAAGGGATATAGATATTAATTTTAATTGCCAAGTAGGTGTCTGGCAACGGCAGTGCCAGGTGACAAGCAAGCTAACGAACTTAGCACCAACATGAAAATGGTTGGGTCACACTGGTCACATCCGACATGTGGCTGTGGCTGTAACTGGCTATCAAATGAGGTTAACCTGATCTGACACTTGTCATGCTAGTGGTGTTGCATCAGCTTTGTTGTAAATGCCACTGCTTTTGTCAGACATCTACTATCCTATTAAACAATCTTTATATTAAAGATAATGCAATACAAGAGCCAACAACTACCTACTTGTTGAAAGCTGAAGTATCGGAAACATTCCGTCTATGTACCCGTGGGTGTTGAGGAAGCGTGGGAGAGATTTGAGCAGGAAGATGATGCTGGTGATGGTGGCTGAGGCTAGTGGTGTCACTCTCATACTTCACTAGCCCACCTGTAGTACCCAGTCCTCCAGGACCCAAGCCAGTAGTCGCTGGTAGTGCCCCGACACCACCTCCAATGGACCCCTGGCTCAGGGACAGACTTTGGGGTCCGCTGCCGATGCTGCCTGCAGGGGGCAAGAATAAGCCCTCAACACTGCCGCTCATGGAGTGGGTTCCACATGCTGCCAACTCGGCGTCACCTTCCCGAAATGGATCTGGATAGCCTGGAGGCAATACCGGTAGTATATTTTTCTTGAATTGCTTTAATATCACTAGCCTTAAAATTTCAAGATATATAATAGCTTTGAAGACCCTAAGATCCCACAAAATAAACCTATTTTACCATTAAATATCAATGATCCTTTTATTTTTGTGTCACCAATTCAGCACATAATAAAGTCCAGAATACTTGGAATATGCAGTGATGTGCAAATATAACCCAAACAGTACAGCATGAGAATATTGGTAATGAGGAAGCCTGGCTCCCTGCTGACAATGCAGAAGCCTGGCTCCCTGCTGACAATGCAAAGCCTGGCTCCCTGCTGACAATGAGGAAGCCTGGTTCACTGCTGACAATGAAGAAGTCTGGCTCCCTGCTGACAATGAGGAAGCCTGGCTCACTGCTGACAATGAAGCAGCCTGGCTCACTGCTAACAATGAGGAAGACTCACGCTACAAAACTTGGCATAAAAGTGCCAACTTGCTTAACTCCAAACACAAATAATCCATTATGTAGATCCAAATTGATAACTGTCTGTACTGTACATTACTATATTACTCTCCATTTACAAAATTAAATTCATACTAAAATAACTATGATTATTAATTGATTAATCAAGCTGAAGTTAACCGACTATACTGTATACCTAGCATGACTTTGGCAAAGTTAATATGTAGTATTGTAGAGGCCAAGGCATCACTGGGCCCTGCTCCCGAGTCCTGATTAGTAATTTTCATGGAATTTATTGTTATTATTATTATATAAAAAAAATTGATATGCATTAACTGGGGGATGCATATCGACTGTCCAAATTAGTGTATCAGTTTCTTAATAAAGTTCTAATATGTCATCAGTATTATTTATGAATGATGCAAGTTTTAGGCATTTCCATGGAAATACCACCACAATCATCTGCACATTTCCAAAAAGAAAAGTAATAATCACTTCCTGTTAACATGTCATAACTTAGGCCATCTGCATCATGTACTATCCATTTCCAACGGTCCATATTATCATCATCATCTCGTTGCCGGTCTCTCTGAACATTTAATAGACATCAACCTCAAACCTTTTAAAATAAGGCTCCTCAGATGGAACTAAAGCTTTTCAAGTTTAAGCCATGGTTGTTTAAGGTTGTTTTCTTATAAAGCCATGACCCATAGGCTGGGTTACAGAGATGGGAAAAAGTTGTAAAACCACATACACACACGATGGATTCATCAATTAATTTCAGCTTGTTAATACATTTGCTCACAAAGATATTATTTAAACGAAACAATACTTGAACCTCGCGCAACTGCATGCCATGGTTTCATCCCATAATCTTTAACATGCAACAAAACTGGAGTACAAAACAAAACAAAATAGTCTTTCTTAACCAAGCATTCTCTGCATTATAGGAGGCTACAGAAAGATTGTGCAATGCCTAATGAGTTAGACTTTACAGCCGTACATAGAATTACCCTCTTTGCTCTCTAAGTGTCATCAGCAATATCTCAAACTAAGGCTGGAACTCTTTCTTTGCAAATTTTCCTGCCTTGCACGTTCTCATCTAGCCTTACCTGCTTGGTAAACAGCCCCCAGTTGATCCCTGCCTAATCAGTACTGTATAATTAATTTGGCTATTAAAGCTTTTCTAATCAATGACATCTTTCACCGTTTCAATAAACAGATTTACACAGCATTTAAGGCTTTATGAGGTACAAATAGCAGAACAGGGGAAAGACTGCCCTGCCTAAAAGATTCTTTCAGATACAGTATATCAAACAAAGATTAGGGAGAAGACTGGGTTATTGAAAAATGGGACAGGTCAGGAAACTGATAATGACAAAGAACCGGGTTGTATTAAAAAAAAAAATACTGTCCATATATACTGTATTAGAGAAGACCTTGCTATTATGCCTGTTATTAACCAAATAGAAAAATTGAAGACCAAAAGGTCCCCAGGACCAGACGCAAGTATTTGTCAGGATGCTTAAAGAATGCTAAGAGCTTAGTGAGCCCTCGTCTTGAATATCTGATAAATCATTAATTAAGAGACGAGTAGAGTACTGAAACCGTGGAGGGTTGCTAATGTGGTGTTGATCTTCAGAACGGGAGATACAGTACATCACTTACATCAAATTATTGTCCAATTAATTTAAAATTTATTATAGGAAAATTGTTAGAATCAACAATTGCAAGATATGTATTTACATTTTAAACGTAGATTGATATACCGTAGTTACGAATTCACAACAAGGTTTTATTAAGTGTGTTTTAATAAGTTTGTGTGTAGCCGACTCATACTTTCCAGTATAATTAAAGAAAGTGTTGGGATAAAAAATTGCAAACATTCTTTATCTTCACTTCGGGGAAGCCTTTGATATTGTGCCTCACAAGAGAAACATTAGTAAGTTAGAAGCATATGGTATTGAAGGGGCTCTCCTAAATTGGATTAGGTCTTTTTTTTTTTTTTAACAAGTTAGCATAAAGAGTAAGGTCTGAATTGGAAATATTTTAAAGTGAAATGCCCCACAGTTCTTCCCTAGGACCCTCTTGTTTACATACAGTATTAGTATTTATAAAGGATGTGGATACAAGAATAATCATCATCTGCAGACACAAAAATAAGCGAGGAAATCACTTATGAACATCCCTACAAGACGGTCTAGATTGGCTTATAAAATGAACAATACAGTATACTTGCAGATGCAGTTTAATGCTGAAATATTTAAGGTTCTGTGTTTACATAATGTTAACAGTTACCAGCTATCAACTAGAAAATGTTAAAATTGTAAAATCTATATATGAAAAAGATCTGTTCATGTTTAGTTAGGAACTTCAGCCAAAGTAATCAATGCATATACTGTATGTATTAAATAAAGTAAACAAGTTATTGTGTGGCAGGTCAGTGTATTGGTCAGTGTGTGTATCCTGTATCCTTTGGTATTCTATAATAGTTTTAAGGTCACTGTGACTCAAGTTTCCTATCTTTACTGGAAACCCAATAACTGGGATCATAATTTGTGTATGCTCCAATTTAATTTTTTATGTGAATTTTACCAATAAATTCAGAGATTCTGGCAAGATAACTTGCCTGCTCTTCACACTAATGTATACTTCGACTACTCGTTCAAGTACAGTACTGTACATTGTTGATAGATCGTAACAGTGACTACATCAATTCAAGGTATAATTTTAAATGATGAATGGTTCATGTATCAAGTAAATATCATTGAAGTAACTATACCACACACTATAAAAGGATAGTAGTAGTAGTAGTAAAGAAAGTTGGGAAAGTTACACTTCTTGTTTAGCAAGAAGTGTACAAAGGTGATATAAAGGGAGAATATGGTACAGACAGATAACCATCTTGGAAGGAAGATTGGAAATATATATGAAAAAAAAAAAGATAGATGGAGGGGGTCAGAGACCTAGAGTGAAAAATTTGTGCAGTGATGCACCACCTGGAGAAATTTCTATGACTACACCCTGATGGAGTGATGGGATGCTCTTGGAAAGAATTAAGGCATTGGGGCTATAGATAATAATAACTTAATTTATAAAACTGTTTTGCCTTTTTGAAATTTAGGTTTTAGGCAAGTTGGGTACACAGTTTTGCTGCTATGAGAAAGTTTACAAAATACTGGAAATTTTTTACATACAGTATTTTCTTTTTAATTTGCAATCGCCAATGCAGATGCGGCAGAGGGGATTCCTAAGGGAAGATCAGAAGTGGGTTTGGAATTAGGGTTTTGGATTACTTTTCTGGAGGTGAAATTTATATGTGGCTGTTCGTGAGTGATTTCGACTTTATTAAAGAGTCATCAGTTAAACAGGGCCAATCAATAGCAACTGGATGTATTCCCATCAATGTTCACAATAGCTGACAGGGTCATGGCTGCACACTGAATCCGACTCCTACCCCTTGGCTAGGAGAGGGGGTTTCACAAGCCACACTGAATTACCCTGCAGATTAAAAAAAAATACCCCCCCCCTACTCCTCCCCAAATGGGTAGTGCCCATGAAGTAGGGAAAAGAGGGGGGGGGGGGGTCTCTATTTCAAGAACTGTCCTAAATCAAGCACATCTCCTGTCCCAATTCCAGGATATAGCCTACCCAAAGAATATCACATTTACATACAAACAAATTTTCTTATTTCGTTATACCCTTCAACAATACCTAGTCTTAACCATTCACAATGGGGCAAGCTGTGAGTTCTCGTACTAAAATGGTTAACAAGTAATTAATTGTGCAAGTTGTTGCCAGAGGAGGGTGAGTAATATTAGCCACCAGAGCTGTACACATTACAAACTCCCACCATGTTCTCTCACAATGCATTACAGCTTTTCTACCGTTTCTTATTACACCAAGGTGACAAAAATAGCCACGGAACCGACACTGCTTGGTCTGGGTTTGTGCACTTCTGAGCATCTAAGAAGAGAGATTCAATGATTTTTGTTTATATTTTGCAAAGCTGGTTGTAAGATGCCCAAGAATTTAATGATTTAATTTTACCTGTTCCTATTATACCTGAGAGCTACCATAGCTAGTGACTTTGATGAGGAGAATGTTTGAGGCTTGTGAAATCTCCTTATCTTGTCTGCCGAGATATTCTTGCTGTAACTTAATGCATTTTAAAGAAACTAATACAAAGGCAAAATTATTGAAAACTAAAGTCTCTCATGTTACGACGAGCCACAAGAATTGCGCATGGAAGACGACAATGAGGTGGTCTGTGCAAGAATGAGGATTTACTGCTTGAAAAGCACCATGTGTCAAATAATCTTTAAAATTAATATCTTATCTTTCACTGACAGTTTCATTCAGCATTGGTACTTCAACTCACCCTATGATAAGATAAGCATTGCAACTGCTAGAATGCATGACCCATCACCAAATATGGTTTTACACTTGTGTGAGAGCCCAATCTCTTACACATTGAGATTCAATTTTGTAGTATCAGTAGGTGTTGAGAATGGCAAATCATTGATGCAGCATCATTAGGCATTGCTCCATTTT